GCACCTGAGAGCTCGGCGGGACGCAGCCAGCAGGAACAGCATCCATGTTGGAATCCACCTGGCAGTCCTGACCAAATGGCTCTGATTATGCAGCCTGACTTCGAACCTGCTCAGCAGCTGGTTCCGTTTGCGGTCCTTGCCTTTTTGGGCCCCTCTGGACCAAAACAAATCCAAGCAACTCATTCGAGCAGCCCTAGACCAGCAAATGAGCCAGCCTCCCTTTTTGGTGCCATCGATCCATGGTGATCCGTTCCACCCTCTGGTCCTGGTCATTCCATTTAATGGAGTTGCGGTAGCGGGATCCCACGGAATTGCGGTACCTTGGCTGTTTGCAGGGCTAAAAAACCCGCACTTCGTGCTACATGCTGCAGCTTGACACTGAGAGCAGAAGTCAGAATGAAAGGTTGCGGAAGGTCGCGGATCTTATCCAGGCTGTTCTTGGCCCCGGGAAGGAAAGTGGAATCTTTGAATCTGGCAGAAGTGAGGCCTTGTTTGCAGCTGAATGGACCTTCACAACGACCAAAGAGGGAGCGAGAGAGATTGAGCGATGGAGAGATAGAGGGAGGGAAGAGAGGAAGAAAGCGAGAGAGGGAGAGAGACAGCCAAGCTGGCAATGACAATGCCACATGTAATATATGATATCATGGTTCCCACTGGAAGAACGGGCCAGTTTTCGGCGAGGGAACCAAGGCTTGTGAACATCTTGAATCAGAGTTGCCTTGAAAAGGAAACCTCAAGGCCCTAGCCTTGCGCGCTTGCCGACCAAGCCATAGCCCTACATCATGAAATATCATGAACAGCAGCGGCAAACCAAAACAACAAACAACACCTCACTTCCTGAGTGGATTGGCCAAGAAAAGTTCGAGTTTTTCAACTATCACCAAAACGGTCTTCCCAAGAAGGATACAGTCCAGGAACTCAGAGAGTGAGGCACAAACGCAATGAGCCACAGAGCATCATGCGCGAGCATGAGACAACCATGCTTCTTGCCGCATCGTTGCGATGAACTCATCTTTGCTGCAAGTATCCGCAGTTATGAACACGGGGCATATCTCTGCATTGTGTCCAGTCATGACTATATGCAACAATAATTACACATGATATGTGTGGTGGTTAGTTGTGCAATGAGTGTGCCGTGTAGCAATGTCTGCACCTGCAGAACCCCGGATGGTGAATACCTGAACTCTGACCCCATCTTCGCAAGATGAATCATCTTTGATCAGCCCTTCCTTTCCGAACTTGGCTTGAAACCCGAAGCTGCTTGCCAGGTGGCCACAAATGCAGCGCGGTGTAGAACTCTGTCTTGTCTGTGAATACCTTATGCGAGGCAACTCATGCAAGCCTTCTGTGAAATGACAACGCTGAAGACAATGCCTGACTGTTCCAAAAACCCTTCAGTGGCCGCGGCGAGAGACCTAGATCTTCCACACTGTGCAGTGCTGTGCAATTCAACGCAACTCCGGCAAGCCTTCAGACTTGTGTCAAAGGGCAACCCTTCAGTCAGAGGGATCCAAGGGCCTCCACAAAACACCCGCTCCTTCTGGGTCAAGTTTGGTGGCTCACCGGACGCCTTCGGCCGAGCCACGGCTTGGGCGTCGCTGCGCGAGGGCGAGAAGGTGTCACCCTGGGTAGCGGCCTACGTGTCGCCAGGGAAGGTCCTCTTGAAAGACACGAGCATGTCATGGTACTGTGCAGTTTAGCCAACAACTTGAGCAAAAGCAAACAAATAGCAAGAGAACGGGAGATCAATGAGGCCATACCCAACTATACCAGTACATTAGTAGTGCTCGTGCATGCGTGGTGTCTGTGGCCGACCCCCAAACGCTTCTGTCAATTTGCTGCCTGGTTCGGGGCGGTAGCCCACTCCATGAATTCCATGTGCCAGCTGTCCACCACCACATCCTCGAGTGGATGGAAACAGGGGCATCAGGGATGCGGTATTGTACGTGCTCCGAGATAGACACAAACCACCACACAGAACGGACACACACACACACACACACGTGCGCGCGCGAACGCACGCACGCACGCACGCACGCACGCACGCACGCACGCACCCACACACACACACACACCCACCGCACGCACGCACGCACGCACGCACGCACGCACGCACGCACCCACACACACACACACACCCACCCACGCACGCACGCACGCACGCACGCACGCACGCACGCACCACACACACACACACACACCCACGCACGCACGCACGCACGCACGCACGCACGCACGCACGCACGCACGCACGCACGCACGCACGCACGCACGCACGCACGCACGCACGCACGCACGCACGCACGCACGCACGCACGCACGCACGCACGCACGCACGCACGCACGCACGCACGCACGCACGCACGCACGCACGCACGCACGCACGCACGCACGCACGCACGCACCACGCACGCACGCACGCACGCACGCACGCACGCACGCACGCACGCACGCACGCACGCACGCACGCACGCACGCACGCACGCACGCACGCACGCACGCACGCACGCACACACGCACCACACACACACACACACGCACACACGCACACACGCACCCACGCACACACGCACACACACACACACACACACACACGCACACACGCACCACGCACACGCACACCACCACCACCACCCACCCACCCACCCACCCACCCACGCACGCACGCACGCACGCACGCACGCACGCACGCACGCACGCACGCACGCACGCACGCACGCACGCACGCACGCACGCACGCACGCACGCACGCACGCACGCACGCACGCACGCACGCACGCACGCACGCACGCACGCACGCACGCACGCACGCACGCACGCACGCACGCACGCACGCACGCACGCACACGCACGCACGCACGCACGCACGCACGCACACACGCACGCACGCACGCACGCACGCACACACGCACGCACGCACGCACGCACGCACGCACGCACGCACGCACCCACGCACGCACGCACGCACGCACGCACGCACGCACGCACGCACGCACGCACGCACACACGCACACACACGCACACACCCACACACACACACACTTACACACACACACACACTTACACACACACACTTACACACACACACACACTTACACGCACACACACTTACACACACACACTTACACACACACACACACACTTACACACACACACACACACGCACACGCACACGCACACGCACACGAACACGCACACGCACACGCACACACACACCCACACCCACACCCACACCCACACCCACACCCCCACCCACGCACCCACGCACCCACGCACCCACGCACGCACGCATGCACCGACAACAAACAACAAACAACGGACAGGAGTGGATAGGCGCAAGAACACGCTAGAGCCTCAACTTGACATGACGGGATGATCCAAGCGCTCGATGCCATCCATCCACTCTGCACTTCGACAAGGATTTCGACTGATTGAGAATGGACACATTTAAACCAAGCTCTGTCAGCAGTGAACTTAGAGTGGCACTTGCACGCAAAGGAGCTCCGCCAAACTCGCAAGCTTAGTTGGAAATCAAAGCGGTGAACAACTCTTTTGCCGATGCCTGCCTTGGTCTTTCACTGCTCCACAGAGCTTTAGCCGAACAATGTTCGGCCAGGCTGATGGCAGCCAAGTTGCGTGATTGACAAGATTGCTGGTGTTCAGGTATCCGTAGACATCATAGAGGTTGCTCTGCTGGTCGAAGGCATCAGGCGACATCGGGAAGTTCACAGTGATGGGCGTGCCTGGCAAAAGCTCAAAACGCTTTGCGTGGAGCAAAGTGGCAGCCAGTTGGAATTAGAGCCATCACGCGGCAAAGTACCCGGTAGTCTGACGGTTGTCTTCGTGCAGTCTTGCCGTAGTTGTCTTCGCATAGAAATCGCACAATCTGTTCAATTGGCTTGTAGTAAACCCTGCAAATCCCTACTACGCAACATTCAGTGAGCCAACAGCTGGCTGGCAAGTTGTTCGCAATCGCGTAGTTTTCGATCAGTGTTGTTCTCGGTCTTGTGGCCGGCCAGATCGACTAGATGTTTGCGCTTTGACAAAAAAGTGCCCATAACCAGGTTTACCTCGGCCTGCATGCTATGGCTTGTTTGTCCTCCTCTTTCGGTTTGCAGCAGTTCTGCCTAGTTGTAGCCCTTAAAGAGACCCTATAAGGGACGTTACTTTACATAACGAGTCGCACTTGTTTTAGTGCATGGAGCAAATCACAAACTTGCAGCCCTTCCGCTGCTGGAAGCACACGCTCAGCATGAAGCCCGCCCTGTGACGTATGGTGTACAATTTCTTACCACCATCGCTGCAGCGACAAGACATGGTCCAGTCAGGAATGTTGTATGGACACCGAGGCAACACAAAGCAGCTTGCCTGTAGCAAAGTTGTCGCGATTGATATTGAAGAAGGTGTTCCTCAGCAATTCGGCTGCGCATAGACGACTTGGAGTTTGATCGACCTGCCACTAGTTGTTTCTTCAAATCTACTTTCGTCGGCCAAAAATGGATCTTGCACGCACACAAATCGCCACCGTGCACAAGTCAACTAACGGCTACCGAGAAGCACATACGAGGAGTCCGGGATGAACCACTCAAGCTTGAAGTCCTCTCCAACTGATCAGCCACTTACGATGCTTTACCTAGAGATCAACTGGCATGTGAAGCCTGTACATGCCAATGATTTCTTCGGCCCAACTTGCTTCCCAACCCCTCTGAATGTTCCTTGTAGATCTGTGTGCTTCCGTAGATGCCGATTCCAGTGACAGCCGCGAAGATGATGAAGGTCACAATCTGTCCGTGGCTTCACTCGCAAGATTTCTGACTTGTCAGGTGCTCTCATGGTCCAAACAAAGACCTTTGCGGGCACCAGTGACCAACCCTTGGAAGACGGAGACCTCAACACATGTTCACCTGGCCCTACGTCCATGCATGGTATTTGAGCAGTATTTCAGCCGGATTCATGATAAGTCATGCTCATGACTATCCTCCTGCAGCTAGCCGGCTGCATCCTCAAGTTCAAACACGTGGAACAAACGATGATGATAACCACGATGGTGACAATGAATGATCATGACGATGACTGTGACGATAACTATCGCCATCGCATCCTCTGCATCGCAAGCGGACGAGCATAATAGCCACGATGATCATGATCATGACTATAATGACAACTTTCATTGTACACATAACAAAGATAGGAAAGAGGAGAAACAACGATGAGTAGCATGATGATAATAGACGCCGATGATAGCCAGGATGATGATGATAATTGTGATAACAATGACTCCGGTGACAACTATCATCATAGCATCCCTGGCATTGTAGTGGCGCAAGCAATGGTGATGATGATGATGATGATGATGATGATGATGATGATGATGATGATAATGATGACAACTGTGTGATACTTTGTGCCAAAATTCTAGCTTGGAGCCCATCCATCACAGGATCCTTTTCAACTGGTTCGCCAATGCTACTTGGAGCATTCCAGGATTCGAGGGGGGATTTCTCAAGATGTGGCATTGAGAAAACTCATCGACGTCAGAGTCGCCTGGCCCACTGGCTTCGTCATCTGCTCGGTAAAGCTGACCAAGCCTGTCAAACGGAGCAATCTCGTTTGAGGCACTGGGCAGCATTTGCAGGGCGCAGAAAGGTGCATCCTGACAATAGCATCCCAAAGACCCAAGAGTCTGGTTGGATGATCCAGAACATTGGAAAGCGCTTGCTCTCGGGACATTGATACAGTAGCTGTGATATACCAGTAATGTGTTGCAATGATTCAAGTGTCGTTTTCAGCTAGCAGCAGCTGGCACAGCCTTCAAGAGAGGCCGCACATGGCAGGGGAACCCAAGGTCAAAAGCAGGCTCAGTCGAGTCGACACGCACAGCAAATCTTGAGGAATCCTCTTGCTTTCATGTCCCCCCCCCCCCGCCCGGCCGCCCCCCGGGCCTTTCTTAATGAAGCCTCCCTGCAGCACCTGTGAGGCATTGCGACAGCGAGCGCGCTTTCCGCCGGGCTCGGATGCCGGGCTCAAGCAATCAATGGATTGAAAGCAAAGGCTGGCCCAGCAACCCTCCCGACCAACAACAAAAGACATGGCCCTTCTTGACGCGACACCTCGTGAAATTTTGAGATGGGGAGCCTCGGTCTGCGGAGCTGCCCAGGACGGGTTCCTTAAACAAAGCCGCGCGACCCTGCTTGCTTCAGTCATCTTGTGTTCATGCCAGAACAAGTAGGACAAAGCCAAACAGCTTCATCTGAATCTGTGAGTTGGAAGAAGCATGGCAACTATATGTGCACCCAACAACGAGGTCTTGTTGCAGTTGCCCCGATCGACAACAAGCTTGCTCTCAAGCTCGAAATCATGCAGATCTCGCGTGCCTTCTTGGGCAAGCAGCAGCAGCAGCATCCCTGCGGGTCATCCGCCGACCGCTCTGAGACCGTGAAGCAGCAGCAGCAATCCACGCGGTTTGAGCGAGTGCCTTGGACAGCACACGAATCTTGAGGATACCCAGCCGCTGCCTATTTAACGTCGGGCTCGGCTTTTCAATTGCTTGCTAACTCAGCATGTGTCTACGAGGCAAACCACAAAGCTATTGAACAGGTCAAACACCCAGTGAACAATTGGCTGTTGCGGACCTTTGAGATGCTTGACAGCCGCGCTCAGGCTGGGCAACATACAAAGGCATCTGCTGAAGAGTTCTGATTGCTTTCATCCTTCTTTCAAAACATATCTGCGCACCCTGAGGACAATATGTACAAAAATGTCAAGAAAATGCAACGGGGAAAAGCAGACTAATACAACCAATAACAGACAGTGCGTCTTTCACCATGCAGCCTGCCTCCATACATGTACCGAGCAGAGTGTGTCGTTCAAAACTCACTTGCAGCTTGGGGAATCATGAACAGTATCACCTGCCGACGAGCTGGATTACGTGGAAGGCAGGAGTTGCCCCAAAATCAACTTCCGGGATGAGTCGCTGTCCGCATAAAGCCTGATTACAAGAAGGATGCTCTTGTCGCGGGCCAGGCAAAGGAACGTAAGAGTGCTCCCCGGGCCCAGTTTTTTGTTGCTTTAAGAATTTGCCAGGCTGCGACGCGCGTTCAATGCCAGGACAGGGAGGAACACGGTCAGCTGAAAGGTGAAGCAAAGGACAATGGACACACCTGGGCGTGTTGAGTTGTCCCATCAAAAACCAATGCAAAAGGACAAAGCAATGCAACGTTACGAGTAAAATTCGTTTTCCAGTGATGGAGAGGGACGTGATTGACTGGCCAGTTTGGTATCATCTGGGGGTAAAACACCTTGTTTTGCAAGCTTATTTCATGATGTCAAACCTTGAGTTTGATTACAGGCTGTACACATTGTGCTGTTTCTGGCTGCTCTGTTTTGTGGACAAATGGCAACTGCAACTGCACTCTTGGCCACAGCATTGGCAGTCAAACTTGTGCTGTTTAGTTTGCTTTGGGTGCTTTGGAGAATGCGCTCAGCTGAAAAGCTGCTGAGTCAGCTCAAAACACCTTCACTACAGGTATCAATGTGAACAGCGGGAAGACACTAGAATGCTGATTTGAGGATGCTGCATGTTGACACACACACACACACACATGCCGACGAATTGTGATCAATGGTCAGCTGCTCCGGCCTCTCAAAACATCTAATCTACATCTACCCTTGCTTTGAGGCGTGCTTCGTTCACTCGTACCAATAGAGCACAAACGCCAAGTCAAACCCGCCACATTGGCAATGGCATGCCGGAGCTATTGGGTACTTTCGATTGCAGGCCGTGTCTTCATTGACAGCTGTCAGCCGGGCTGGAGAAGAATGGAGACTGCGGTCCTACCCTGGCGACCCGTCGGTTCATGTCATCCCAACCGCTTTAAGTGGCCTGCGTAGGTGCAGAACCAGCCCAGTGCCGGCAGCACAGTGGTGGCGCCAACCAGGAACGCCAAGGCGTCAGTGGCAGAGGTGATGAGCACCTCGAGATACCCAAGCAGGAGGTGCTAAGAGATGGCGATTGCTTTCTACAGTACAAGCCAAGCCGCCATCAGAAAGCGTAGGTTGCTACAGATTCCCGCCTAATCATCCTTGCCCTGATACCTAACTCGGACCGACGGAAACAAGCGCTCGTTGGCGATGAACTGCCCAGTTCTTGTGGAGTTCTTGAGGAGCGTAATTAAGAGGGGGCAGTTGGGTATTCCCAAGGAAATTGCAAGATTCCCTATCACTTTCTAGAGCTCCTTAGCATCCCTTCCCAAGGTCCCCTAGAGACCCCAAAAAGATTCTAAGGCTCCCTTAAGCCCCCGCGCTTCCGTTTTGAGTGTCACCAGGTTTGTTTGGGCTGAACGACGGCTTTGCCCCCCACGCAACAAGTGCGTGCGCTGCAGGGCAACCAAGAATTCAGCGCGAACGCAGACCTATCGGAAAGGCCAAGAGAAGCTTTGGGAACCCTGAAAATTCAATGGGAGGCTTGGCTCAGGGAGTGCTGGGAAGCTTAGGGAGCACTTGGAGAAGCGAATTGGAGACCGGCGACTCACAGGCTCACACTTTTTGGGGCAGTCTGCGACTTCTGATTTTGAACTGCGGTGCTCCCTAGTCCACGCCATGATACCCCGGCCCCTTACACCCCTCAAGACCTCCATCAAGTTCTCTTCTGCCACGGCACCGAGATGCCTCCAGTGCGGGCCGTGCGAGCAATCAGCTCCGCCACTGAGGTGTCCTCACCCTGCGCAGACCGATGCAAAAACCAACAACCAGTTGCCCCAGGTGAGTCACAATCAAAACCCGGTATTAAAATGGTCTACCCAGACTCATGTAAAGAATTAAGAAGGCGGCCGCAGCTATTTATGGTTGGGGCTGTCCCTTACTAACCTTCATCTACCCGGGTTTTGATTGCAGGCGCTCCAGGTTCCCCTCCTTGGAGGTGGCCATGTGCCGCGCAAACTCCGAGCTGAGCACGAAGGCATCGTCCACACCCAGGCCCAGCAGCAGGAAGTAGAGGTTGTTGTTCAGGTTGCCTCAGGCGAGAGGCGAATTACTTCAAGGCTCCGAGAAAACGTAGGCATTTGAGTCAACTGTTCAATAGAAAAGTTGTTCAGGGAACACAAGCAGCGCCTCTCGACAAGGCAAAGAATTGGAAATATCAGCAGCGCGTTGTAGCGTGCCGCTACAGATTGCGCGTGAGGATGGGTTCCAGGATCCATTGACTCAAATGAAGCTGGATGTGACAGCAACCAACTATGACCATGCTACTCATAAGCGCACAGGCAGTTCATCTGGATACCACTGCAACATAGGAAGAGCAACATAGGAAGAGCCTTCATACTGCACCTGTCCGTGCACAATCTACTTGCTCCCCGTGACCAGCGCAGTCATAATATCAAAGCATGAGAAAGCCATTCACAAACTGAGAGCGCCTGCCTGTGCAACACTGGCTTGTCACGTATACACGAATCTTGCACCTTTCCTCCGGAAAATGCGTTGTGCACTTTTCCGACACGGCATGACATTCCGAGATGTCGGCAGGCCCAACTGCTAGCTCCAAGAAGGCTTTCGCCCAGCGGCCGTTGGGCACCCCGAAGTAGCCCATGAGCCCCAGAGTGGACCCGATGGTCAGGCCCACGATGAGCACCGCCACCATGGACAGCACCACGCCGCTGTGCACGGCGTCCAGCTTGCCGATCATGATCTCAAATGTTTTTTTTTTTTTTTTTTTTTTAACTCAAGCCGTTGAGTTGTCCAGGCTCTCCGACTCCCAACATAAATTAGGCGATAACGAATTGAAACGCCCAGAAAGTCAACACCTCGACCGACGTTTGGAGCTACAGCTCCAGCTGTAGTGAATTGACTTGAGTGTCATAGGCTCCCCGAACAGATAGGCCCTACCAAACTGTTCACTTTCTCTTTTGATGGTACCCTGTTCTTGTTTGGGTGGGGGGGGGGGGGAGAAAGGGACTCCAAAAGGAAAACCAACATCTTGTAAGTTCATAGTCGGAAGTGCTTCCCATGGACAGACATTTTTGGCTGAACAAGCGATTGCCGCCAGGGGGCAGCGCAGTAGACCTCGGCAACTCCAAATGACATGCGAAGATCCTAGTGTGAAAGAGGTTTTTTCAACCATCGAGTATCACAGCCCGGGCACTCTTGAAACCTAATCATGCATGTTCCACATGTTTTTTAAGTCTTACTGGGCGAACAACACCCAAGCTTGCCAGTAGCCAGGATAGGTAGCCATCTTGAAATCCAAGGAAGAATTGCATGATGAGGATAAGAGGGGAAGGGATTTTTTGACACCAAATAGATCAAGACAAGCAACAATGATCACGAAATAGGAAGAGGACAGCTTGGCGATATCGCCGCGGATGGCGTTGCCAAACTCGTCGCCGAGAGATCGTTGGAACAGGCCTTAGCTATGGCACAGCCCCTACCACGCAAGTCTCAGACTTTGCAAGAGCATTTCTTCACTGGCAATCCTTAATTCACGCCCCCCAAGCCCTAGAAAGCAGTCTGGTCAAGGCCTCTGGGGTTGCCCTTCACCACCTCTGAGAAGCCCAATTGCAACACTTGATTTGTTTTTTTATCGCTTGGACAAAAATCGGAGCGGAGGACAGCCATCTTGCAAACTGATGCTTACCACACCCATTGAAACAAACTCTTTGAGCCGTACTTGCAAAAAAAGTTCCATGTTGTTTGGCCGGACCATCGAGCGCGCAGTATTCAGACCAAAGCAACCGCTGAACTTCAGCAGGTCATCCTCCTTGCAATCCAGCTTGGGCTCAGCTCGGGAGTCGGCGTCGATGCCCATACTGAGCTCGGGTGCGAGCAGCATTGGCGGATGGTTTTGATTGGAAGAAAATCGGGCCTGTGATAGCAAGCATTGATGAACAAACAAAGGATAGCCAACGCAAACACAAGGCCTGTAAATGCATGCATGTATTCACCAGATTTCTCCAGTTGGAGTACAATGTGGCAAGAATTGCATGTCTGATCACAGGCGACATCGAGGTTGCCGTATGGAACATTGCAAACCTTGAGCACACCTGCAGCATAAAAACAATAAGTGCAAACAAGCGCGATGATGCAATAAGGTCCTGCCTTTGAAAGTCTGAATCTAATTCATTGGCTGGTGCAAAGCCACCAAAGAGACTGCGGGTAGTGGCCCGTATGCTGCCAGGTCGCATGCACAAGGCGCGACGCTCCCACTCATCTGCCACTGGATCTGTGCGGCCCTCGATGGGGCAATACAGCTCCTGAGGCACCGGGATGTTGGCTCAGTTGACAGAAAAGGGTGCGGGAAGCTTATTGCAAATTGCAAGCGCATCTGAGCTAATGGGATGGGCTGCAACCGAACAATCAAAGGACAAATCCCTGTGATCGACATGGCTGCAAGCAAAAAAGCTTGCCAGATGCTTATAGGACCAGCCTGTGGTTGGTAAGGGCAATTGGGCCTCCCACGGGCTGGCTGGAAACGAGTCCGAATCCTCGCGGACAGAACACTATTGTCATCAACAAAGCACCAAACATAACATATCTGGATTGTTGAGTTGCAATCGGCGTTCATGCATTGTCCAAGTGGCTTGTCTTACAGGAATCTCTCGGTTCGGGTGCCAATTCGGCAAGGCTCGTTCTTGTTCAATGCGAAGAAGCCGGCGATGTGCTTGCCGCCTGCGTATTTCCAGTTGGTGTCAGCCACCTCAGCTGAAGGGACTGACCAAGCGAAACTGGAAACCGCCTGGCTCCTTGCAAACTCCCGTGCCCAAAAGAAGAAAGAACCTTGGTGACTGATTCTGTCATTCGAATTCAAAACCTGTGATTGAGGTGAGAGCAGGGTGACGTGGGGTGTCCCAGGAGAGGGGTTGGTGGATAGTTGCAATGCGAAGCCAACCACAGTCACATCATATTGTCGGCCAGCCTGTCCTTCCCTGCCAGCGTGTCAAATATTGGACAAGCATGTCACAGAACAGCTGTGCTTGATCAGCATGGGGACGCAAACCCACCTCGTATATGATTTGATGTGCAACCCAAGGAGCCCATAGCCATGCCAAGTCTTGAAACGCATGGACAAAGTTAACCAGGTGGGTCGAGACCCCATGGCTTGGTTCAACATGATTCACTCCAACCGGGGGGACAGGGGACTGTGGATAGGATCGGTTTTGCAGCATCAACATCGCGAGTACAGGCATGGCTTGTCTCACGCATTTCGGGGGGCTCAGCCAAACGCACCTACACCCACGGGCACGGGTTTGCTCCACTGCGAGAGAGACAGAGAGAGAGAGGGAGAGAATACTGGCCCCAAATTGGCACCAAAGCACCGCGCTGGCTCCAAACTAAGTTTGCTTTTCGTTGCACCAGCAAGACTGACACGAGAATGGTTGACTCGGCCCACTCAAGCCATGTTGGCGTTGAGCTGCCAAGAGGTGGATGCTCGCTGGCTCAAGTCCACAACCTCGCCGTCTCCCGCACAACTCTGCACACGTAATCAGAAACTGGTACTCCAAATATGCCAAGTCTCCAATCCTCCCACCATGGTCCTGATCTTGGTCGGCTGGAACTCGAAGGCGCTATCAGGCGCCTGTCCTGGGTCCTTAGGACATCTTACATCTGAATCCAAGGCCCTTTTGCAGGCGACAAGATCAAGGGGGCGACTTGCACGCGTGTTGTTCTCAGAAAGGAGCGGTCGCCAAATCCCCAGCATTGATTTCAACTGGTGGCAGCTCAACATCCCCAGCATCGCCGGTGACTGGTCGTCCGAAAGCACCCCTTCTCGCCCGTGACTGGTTGCCGAAATCCGGCTGAAGAAAATCAAACTTACATGATGCAACTTGTTGGAAAAACGGAGCCGTTGCTTTAATGGTGGCAACTAAAGTCCAGGAACACTTCTTTTCGGACCCTGCTAGATAAATGGCTCCAATGCTCTAATTGTGCGATCCAAATGCCCGTGACCCTTGATCACGTGTGGACACCGCGTCTTGAGGGGTTTTGCACCTTCCCTTGCTGTAGTGGGGGTTCCTTTCAAGAGCTACTTGGCAGCGTTGCCCTGCACAAATCCACAAGGGCCTCGGGCACGCGCCAGCGTTAACATTTCAAGCATGGTCAAGCTGCCGATCTCGAGCTGACCCATACAAGCTCTCTTGCCGTATCTTGCCGTGCCGCGGTGTTGAGCTGGCCACCGGGAGCTGACGTTGACGTGGTGCTGATGGAGCCCAGGTTGCCCAGTTGGATGCAGCCACGGTCCTCCCGCGGCTCCCGGATCGCCAGACTTGAGAAATGCAAAGCTCTGCAACACAAGCCACATGGGATCCACTCTAGGTCCTCCAGTAGAGAGGTTGGAACAAGGGTACCCTTTTTTCTGTAGTCTATTTTAGTAGGGGAACCCTCCACAAAAGGGTAAAAGGGCACTGGGGGACCTAGCAGTGATCTCCTCGCAGGTCGCCAAGTTCACCGGAATGGTCACTTCCTCGCCGTTCACCATTATCGTGTTGGTGGGGCACCTAGGAATCCAAAAAGAGCGCGCTTGAGCTCTTGAGGATGAGGGGCCTTGCTCTGAAACGGATCTGATCCAAGTCGCTTCTGGTTGCAGTACTGCGTAGCTTCCACGCGGCAAGCATACCTCTCATCAGGCGTGTTGTAGGCTTGGCAGGTGCCTCAGTCCGATCTCAGCTCACCCCATCTCCGGGATTATCAATTTGGCCGACTGCGCACCTGTTTGCTGCTCAAACTAATCATGCTCAGAAGCAGGCTGCTATGAAGAAGCTCAACGTCGGGAGTTGGTCACTAGCAGAAATCGTGATTGCACTCTGCAACATACTGGATACATGCGTGACACAAAGCCAAGCAGCTGTTGTAGCAGGGAGAGTTAGCGGTGGCCAAGGTCAAAGGGCAGAATGTTTCTTGGTCCTGCAAGAGCAAATTTGCTTGGCCGGGCAACCGTTGCAAAAGACAAGGTCACGCGAGGGGTCCGAATCCCCTTGGCGGGTGCAGGCCTACTACGAATGCAGCACAGAGATGCAGAAAATGTACTCATTGTGATTCACTGCGTTGGCCTCCTTTGTTGTTGGGCTACTGGGCTATAATGCGAGAATGAGCAAGCATGGGCACCACCAATTCAGACGTCAGTCAGCAGCGAGTATTGGTTAGACCTTTAAACAACGCCGTCCAACACCGCCCTGCGAGGTTTGTATCACTTAGCGGTCATACAGACTTTTTATCAGAGGACGTCACCTCACTCTGTTTGGTCAGCGTGCCAGGCACTAGGTATGGCATAGGTGGCATTTAGCCAAAGGAATTCACTTTCAAGGATGATGCGCCTCCCAGTTGTTAAGTGCGAGCTTGATCTGGTTGTCGTCCAGGTTTTGGATGACGTAATCATCCCCCCTGAACCTCGGTTGTGGAGAGCTGGCAAATCGTCGACGCTGGCAGCCGACTATCAACTAAAGGTCATCAGGGGGAAATATGTAGAAACGCATTGTAGAATGCTGAAGAACTGCAGGTCGGCACATGCCGCAACCCTCACGCCACCCCCAATTCCCCCCAAGAAATCACCGCCCGGCCAGTGCAATCAAGCACAAAGCAAACGTAGCTGTTGACCCAGCATGTTGTAAGTCACCATGGGGCAGGTGGCCACAGGAGAAACGACTTGATATACCTTGCCAGTTCGGAGGTGTGGGCAGGCATTGTCATGCACTCCTAAAGCTACGGTCTTAAACGAAGGAAGCGAGCAAGGACGGAGGGAGGGAAGGAAGATATACGCATGCTCTTTGACAACTTTTTAAACCCTGTGTCCTCTTCTCCACTCGGAATGACATTCACAAAGGGTCCAGTCTGTGATCCCAATCGACAGCAAAGAGGGTGCACCACGTTGTTCTCGAGCAGTTCTTCTTGGTGTCTTTTCTGAGGGAACCCTGCTTTGGGTGCTTTAACAGGGACATCGGAAATTAACGGGAAACCACCACAGAATGGGGGCCCTCTATTCCGTGACACAGATGCTAAGCATTGACCTAAAGCAAGGAGCACATCCAGAACCGAAGACCTGCCGCAGAAAGGACCGAAGGCGTAGCACTTGCGGCCGTTAAAGACCACACTGCCGTTGACCTGCGAGAGAAGTCAGAGAAGCAAAAGCTGGTTAAATATCCTTCCGCTTACTGGGTGATTTCCGGTCTCCGAAACATTGGTCGCCGCTTGAAGCTTGAACCGTTGCCTCATCCATGAGCCCAGCCTATTCCTGCCAGAGCTTCAACAATATCCCCGTTCGGCATTGACCATGTTGGGAGATCAACAGAAACTCCTTTATTGCTTCCGCTCTCCACAAACTGCCACCTTTGCGCCAAGGCACGCTTGTCGGTTCACCGCTGAAACCTGGTGCGTTGGCGACTCAGGTTGAAGTATCTAACTGGGAATCAAAAAAGATGTGTCTGCTCCGCGCTGAGCTGTTCTGACGAAACTGGCAAGAAATGAAAGCCAATCAAACTACCCAAACAATATTACTTGTTTTGCCCAGAGGACACGGCTTAAGTGGGTCGTCCCTCTGGCATTTGTGGGACATTTGGGTGATCCCCCCATGACTAGATTTAGATGTCGGGTAAACCTTGAATGGTAAAAACTTGTTCTGCCCAAGTTAGTATGCCACGCGGGAAACACAAGGGTCCTGCATTCGAACGTTAGTGTCCTCAACAGACGCAAACGGTCCGTGCATGAGTTGTCCCTTGAAACACAAACTGTATAAAGGAAGCTGTTAGTTTGGATTGAGTCTAGCAACCGTAAACAAAAACTGCTTGGGAGAACGTTTATTTGTCACCGGAAATACTAAGATGTCTTTCGCTCCCAGCAACTTCTTGTTTTGGGTTTGAAAGGCACTCGCCCCTGCAAGAGATAGCTTCCTGTTCAGAACTAACTCCCTGGATGCCACGTGTCAAACGAACTTATAACGTGCAAACAACAAACAAAGCTCTATACAAAAAACTTTGTACTTGTTGCAAACTCGCAAGGGCGAGTTTGTTTCGAGCTTCTTGCGGAAACAAAGTAGGCACGCAAGTGCCCTTTAGCAAGATACAACTGGAGTTCCCGGCAGCGCAAAAACACAGTTTGCTGGTGCAAACAAACATGTGCGCGTTCCATCCAAGGTCTTAGGTAGAAAGCATGGCCGAAGCAACTCTCTTCGCGGAGTGCAAAATATGTTTCTTGGAGGGCTCCAGTCCGCAACTCAACTCAACAGCGGGCATTTGTTCTGCAGTGGCACTTCACAGCTTGAACAAAAGTCAGACGATCAACCCACAGCAGCAACTCATTCGTGCAAACCTTATGTGTTCATTGACAAGGGGCTCCAGGATCCAGAGTAGATGGTCCATGGCCGGTTGTCGCCTGCCGAGCGCTTGTGATCCTCGTCCAGCTTCTGCACCAACGTCGTTCCGTCGATGGTGATGTTCATGATCTGCCTCAAAAACGTGCGGCTCTCGGTCAGTTTGGTCGTCTGCACAGTCGTAAACGAAAAACACGTTCCATCAGAATGGTTTGTTAGTCTCCCCTTTGGGTGTTTTCTTGAAGTCTGCGCCAACTCGGATCAACGCACCGATGATTACCGCTGCTGTCTTGGGGCCACATTCTGTTGAACAAGTGTGTCTGCCTGTCATGTGCCAATTTGCACACGCACTGCAAATGTGCTTGTCTCTTAAGTTATTCGAAAGTGGGTTGTTTAAATGTTTTGTCATCCTGCTTCAGCATGATCCTCGGGTGGTCTTGCGGATACTTTTAGAGCCTCTTAGCCATTCTGATAGACGTTGAGTGTGTGGCAGCCCCCGAGCGAACTGCACACGGATGTGGAGCCGGCCGGAGCCGACCCCGCCGCCCGTTCAGGGCCGAACAACTATGGAAATATGGAGCCGGCCGCTAATTATTAATTAGTTAAGACACATACGTACACACGCGTACACACACAAAAGCAAGGGTGTCCTGAATACCATCCCAGAATGGCCACACAACCTACACCAGGGCCCAAGCTCGTTCAGCATGTGGAAGCGCTGGAGGTACTTGGGGTCCAGGATGTTGCCTCAGCTCGAAGGGCTGCCTGCATTGCTTCATATGCTCTACTGGCACAGTGTTGTTGCTCTCTCTCTCGCTTGAGCTCCGGCTTTCGTGGTTCAGGGCATCCAAGGTAAGAGTGCTGGCGTGAAAGGTCTCTCTCACGGGCCGGAAAGCTCACAGAACCTGGCCATGAGCTCTCAACTGAGCCCAGGTAACATGATGGATGTTTAGAATGAAATGCACAGTGCAAGGCAAGGCTGAGTTCCGCAGTCAGAATTGGCAGCCTGGCTACAACTTCTCCTCGAGGGTAAACATCGAGTCAGAGGTGAAGTGTCTCTCTTGTAAGCGACTAGCAGCCGAATCTCTAAGGCGCAGATTGGACATCTTTTGGCATCAGGTCGGTTCAGTGATGTACTGAGATTCATTGTGGTATTTTGTGTGCATGTACCGACGCATGATCTCTTACATATTACCCAACTGGCTCTATGATCACGTCGCTACGAGTACCACGCACAAAGCAAGCCAAACTGTGTGTCTATATCAGCTTGGCATCATGTGGCCACAGGTCAAAACCCCGTACCCCCAGTGAACATCCCAATCCCACTAAAATAGGTTCTAAAATGGGTGGTGCACCTATCCCAAAATGGCACCATTGGTTTTGACCCACAGCCATGTGTGTGTGTGTGTATCTTCGTGTGCGCGTGTGCAAGAATGCATCTCTCCTCTGCAATGCAAAGCCAAGCTGTCGGCAAGGCCAAGGCACAGGATGCCTCGTCCACGTCAGCACAGGTCGCCGAGAAGAAGTTGAAGCGGGCGTTGCCCGGCCAGGTCGCCTTCACCTCGGCCACTGGACACTAATGACACGTGAGAGATTAGATCATGCTATATTGTGGTATATAATAAATTGCATTATTGCTTCATTTGTGGGCTCTCGATTTGCAAGGAGCACCTAGTATCTTCAAAGCCTTCAGCCAATGCTGGAATCAGTGCCGTGCCATTGCTCTTGCTGAATGTACCTCCAGTAACGTTTTGACAGTTATTCTTAGTGACGGAACTTACCCCTTTGCCAAAGAAGCAAACCAGGCCGGCTTTTGTCAGCTCATGCACTACCTAGAAGTACTACAGTTCGGTCCATCATGAGCACTGCTGGCTCCAAACAAACACCAATGCTGGCAACACTGGACCACAGGTGTGTCAACGTCTGCAAGGACCTCACCTTGAAGCCGTACTGGCAATAGTCTCTGGCAATCCTACCATCCTCAAACTGTACCACCATGGCTAGAGCTCAGGTTCACATTTCAAATGACGCACACTGGCTATTGCCCCAACAAGTGGCACCGCTTGGCCATTCACAAACCTAACACGAACTACAAAGAACTGTCAAGGCCAAAACCATGCCTGTCAAGTTTCAATAGCCAACCGCACCATACTTGCGCATGTGTGCGCGTAATATGAATATATTATTGTATGAACATGTGAAACGATGAATGCCAAATTGGGCAACATACGTGTGCACGAGTGTGTGTTTGTGTGTGCGCGCGCCACGCAACGTAACATTCAAATCTCATCACAATATGCAGGCTGCTCTACGGTTTGATGAGCAAAAACATCTACTCGAACAATTCAGCGCTGAGTTTTGCGCTATTGACAAAATGTAAAGAGCATACATCATCTTCATTCAAGCATATAATACACTAAGTCATAGTCGGACCAGCAACGAGCTTCAACGGAGTTGAGTTGAAAGGGTTCAAGACGGTTCAGGTCTCAGCTTGCCAAACGAAATAAAACCAAAGCACAGGGAGGTTGCTCATAACGCAGCCAAACACAATGGCCACGTGCAACAACCTTCATGACACAATCTGCTTGCTGATCCGATGATCGAAGCATTATGGAGACTGAAACCAAAACAATAGAGCAAGTTTTCTAGGTTCAGCTCATGCGGCCGCCCACTTGCCCCCCCCTTTTCACAGTCTTGCCGTAGGAACATACTCGTCGTGGTCCAAGGCGAGGGACCCTGCGCGCTGCAATTTCGACAAACTGATTCTTAGCAGGCAATCTGATTCTTTGGCTCAGACCAAGCCCTGCTTTAGCTTGCAAACTGCAAATCAAATGACGGTGGCATCTGCCCTGTTGATGGCTTTGAAGTACAATTGAGTTGATGGCGCCCAATGACGTTCGAAGCTCCACCTGATATTTCAAAGGAATCACATGTTACCCTGTCCTGGCAATCAAACCCAGTGCGTCCGTCTTTCCGCGACAAGCGAATTTCGAAATCGACCGGTCTCCTACTGGCACCCACTGCTTCTCCGGGCGTGTCTCGCTTTCCAGGAAGGCAAAGCCGCCGCAGCAAGCGACGGTGAAAATGATGCTCCCGATCAAGCTCTTTACCTCACAGCTCCAGTGCTTGCGGGCCCGACCGTTTGGGTCGGGGTTGATGCACGAGTGACAGCCATCCAGCGTTTACAATGATTGCTAGCAGCCAGTCTGCGCAATTACAAGGTCATCCGAAACTGGCGACAATAGCATGCTTGATTGCTACCAGCCTCACCCCGGCAAAGGTGAGAACTTACAAGGCGCACCAACGTGCATTGACATGCACTCATGCAACTCGAGCATGTACAAAAAACCTCTGATGCTCAGGCAAGGCTGCATGCAGCAGCAAACCATGGTTGACATCAAAAAGGCCTTGCAGCATGGTCCAAGCACTCTGCCTCCAGCTCAACAAGATCGTCGGAGCAACACACGGAATAAAATCAGTGACGGGCTTCTTCCGTAACTGTACTCCTCAACCAGTATACGCACGAGCTGTACACGCTCCGTCTGCTAAGAACCGGACTTGCTTGTGGCAGGAACAAAAGTACGCGAGAAGCAAATGCAAGACACTGGCAGCTGTGGAGGATGGCGCCATGACAGGCTGTCTTGCTGCATTTCTGAGGCAGGAAGTGATTCGAGTGGACTCGCACAGGCCATTGAAATTGCATTTTTGAGGAAACGGGGGCTGCCTCGGCCAAGCAAGCAGGCCCCGGGCTATGCTGTAATCATTTTCCAACACAAACAAATTGACCCCCCATGACGATTTAAGCGGGCTGCGCGTTTTCAAACCAACCCAAATTTATGTGTGAAACTAGGATTCACGTTCAAATTCTGTATACTCCAACTTAGGCCTCAGCAGTACAGCCACCCTCGCATCCCATGTCTGAGCGTAGCTTAGAACCTTCGAAAAAGAAAAAACACAAAAACGACTCGCCTGGGAAACAAAACGACACGTGGCATGGCCGAGCCGCGGGATGTCCGCCCACTTTGCGGCCCACGGCCTCGAAGAAGGCCTCCAAACAGCCCTCGACACCACCTGAGACGCGCCCAGCGCCCGCCCATGCGCGGGGAAGTTGCGTGCGAGCCCTTCGTATGCAAAGGGCCTGCGACACACCTTTGGCGCGCCAGCGCTGGGGGGCAATGTGATTGGACTGGGTGCTCTGGTTTTTTCAACAGGCAACATGCACTAAGCTCATGTTGCCCGGCCTCGCCCGAAACTGAAAGAAAATATCGTGAGCAACCAGCAAAAACGGCCTGTCAAATTGAATAAAAGCGGGGGCCACTATGGCCTGACCCCGACATGCACATCACCTTAACCGCACTGGCAATAAACGCCCCTGGGAGTCATTCCTTGATCTCTTCTGGGCGAAGTTTTAGCTTTCCACGAGCCTGGACCAACTCAGAGCGAGCCCCAAGGAATCTCTGGCCTTGCGAAAAGAAATAGCAATGGAACAATTCGAGTGTTCTCCCCGCATGCCAACTCAAACGCTGGAAAAAGAGTGGGTGCAATTCGGGTCGCATTTGAAGAGCAGCCACTTAGCCCGCAAGCCCCTTCGCCACTCAGCCAGCTGAGTGGCTAAGCCGTTAACTGTCCAAGTTGCTAAATAATTCTATCTGACCAAGTGGCTAAGTAGCCGAAGAATGCTAAGGGGCTAAGCGGCCAAGTGGATAAGTAGTCAAATATATCTAAGTGGCTAAGCAGCCAAGTAGACTGACATGTCTCAGGACAAAAAAAACAAGCGCAAGGTAAGTAGCATACCTGTATGCAAAAGTATAGGCACGTGCGAACGACTGGCTTGGTTCAAAGCAAGCGTGTGGGAGTCTTGCTTGTTTGCTTGCTGTAAGTACTGCTGACAGAGTATGTTACTTGAAAACAGGGGAGGTTAGTTACTTAAGGGCCGGGCAGGGGGGGGGTGTACGTAGTTATACCTGTGGGGGTTGGGGGCGGGCAGCTTATTAACAGAGTATGTTACTTAAGAAAACGGGCGGTTAGGCACTCACAAACAGGAAGCGTTTTACTCACGGACGGAGAGGTTCCGTACTTGCTCCGACGACTGGCTTAAATGCCAAGACCGACGGAGCGGATTGCTTGCCTTCTTGCTTGCTTTGCTTGCCTTGCCTTGCCTTGCTTGCTGTTGCTTGCTTTCTTAGTTTCCGGTCGTCTGTAAGCAACATACTCTTGCGTATAGGTATGTTGCTTACCGCCCAGGATTGCTTCCTGTGATGTATGGTAAACCATTTAGAATTGCTGTTGCTTTAGCCATTTCGCCAGCCACTTAGCCACTTGGCAACTCAGCCACCTTGCCACTTGGCGTCTCAGCCAGGAAGGTGGCTTAGTGGCTTCCTTTCACTTCCCGCGTCTGCGCACGCCCAATGTAAAAGCCAGGGACGGCCCAAGCACCACTTTCACTAACATGCTTCTCACGGTACGAGTGACTAGCTTGTCTGGAGTGCAAGGTTCCCGACAACCTTGTACTCTAAAGGCGTTACCTTCCGGATGGCATCATGTGCCAACCATGGCACGTATTGTCAAATGACAACAAGGCTGCCTGTCCTCACAGCACAGCGTGAATTGACCTTCGGGTGCTTCAAAGAACCGGGCACAAAGCAAAATGCGTGGCTAAAGAGATCAAATGGTACATGCTGGTTAAAGAATATGCTTGGGCCGTCTGGATTTGCCAAAGCCCATAATCTCCCTTTCTGTCAGATCCCATGGTCATTGTTGCTGACTAGCCGCCCATGTCGTCAGAGAATGTGCCGGGGAGAAAAACAGTTCTATCGAGCCAAAGAAAACAATGCAAGACAATGCAGAAGTCTAAAATTCCACACAAATGCACCTTCGTCTTCCGCAACATGCAGCCTTGCCACAGCTAGGCAGGATTAAAATGATCAAAATCAGATTTAAGCCTCAAGAAAGTGATACTGGTTTCAACGGCTAGCAGCTTCGGTGCAAGAAGCGAGCATATCATACAAGGTACGGGCCACGATAGTGCATCCTTGGCCCGAAACTGCTTGGCAAAAATACCGTACCATTCAACAGAGACCCCCTCTTCATTCGGGAGAACTGTATTATGGCTTCTTGTCGATGTCCATGATAAAGGCACCCTTGAAAGCCGTGAAGTACTACACTTGCTACCAGGGTAGAGCTCACTTGGTTTTGCAAAGTCGGAACTTGTTCACTGGTAAAACCGTTAAATGTGTGTGTGTGTGTCAAGCAAATCCGAAAGGCAAGGACATGGCTGGATGCGCATGAAATATCGAACATGAGTGAACGCCTCGTTTGTGTTTGGTTGCAGGGCAAAAGAGGCTGCACCTGCGCGACCATCCAGAAAGAGCAACAAACGATTCTGGCTGAAAGCAAAGGTCTGCACTGAAAGTGCGCAGGGCCGGGCAAACTCCTGCGAAAATGCAGCTGCAGTGAAAGGCAAGCGTTGGGTTCAGGAGTGCTATGGCCAAGGTAGTACCAGAACGCACCTTGGGCAGTAGCGTAGTGTTTAGCCAAGTGCCGCCATTGACATCATACCAAACCTTGCTTCAGACTATCGCTGCGTTGGAGAAAAGGAACCAAACCGCCAAAAACCCGAAGCCAAGCTTGTGTGTCCGCCTCTTTGTCCAATCCTTGCCACATGCTTGGGATCTGTCATACATCGTCATGCGCAAGCTCGTGCGCTCACGAAAAGTCAAGGGGCGTGGCTCGCGCGGCTTGGCCGCGGGCGAAAACGGGATAAAACTTCGAGGGTCCACTTCGTGGAGCCAAGGAAAAGTTGGCGAGGAACCCGCCGGTTGCCTGTCTGCAACCTGTGTTGCAAAGCGCAAGCGAGATTCTTGTCAACACAGCTGGGACAAAAAGAACAAACATCTCGGAATGCGGAATGAACAGCGTGCCACGCAATATGCTTTACCCCAAACACACTATCCACACTCATGGAGTCGATAAGATATAACGAAACAAGCCAGATATTCCATTTGACCCTGCTGAGCAGATTGCTCCTATTTGCGACATGTCTCTCAATGCAGTCAGTTGCAGGAAATTGGATAAACAACCAAGAGAGCCGACATGGGCCAATGCCAAACCAATTTTGGCATCCACAGCTGCCTTTCGCTGTGCGAGGAGTCAGAGACGGGCAAGCACATGAACCCCGGAATCATGCTGCTTGTTCCCCAAAAAGACGTGGGAAAGATAGGTCGGCCCTCTGGTGTTTGTGGGATGTTGGGTCGGCCCCTTACATCATCCCGAAAGCAAGCGTAGACCATCAGCATGGTTGCTGCTATTAGCTCACATCTGCACGCTGTTTCTCGATTGTTTGCCCCGAACGATTGAGCAGTCCAAAACGCAAATGCTTACATACTTTCGAGCCCGACTTGTTGAGGATCCGAACCTCCCGTCGGGCCTTTCCAGTCCTAAAACGGAAGCACGGGCATCTGACTTGAAACACGAATCATCATAGAAATTACTTTGCATATGCAAACATGCTGGTTGGGCTCGCTAGATCTTCCAAACGTTTCGCTGCGTCAAAATTAGTGCTACAACTTGCTCCGTCTTGGCCCCTGCCAAGCCCTTGCTGGGCGTCTCAAGGGAAAATCAAGCAAGCCGGTACTGGCCGCTCGACACAGAACGGCGCCAGGTTGCCGACAAACAGTTTCAAGGACAGGGGCACCAACAAAACTTTAAGAACAACTACTCTGGGTGTAGCGTTGTGGGCCAAACACCCACAACCGCCAAGAGTAGCCAAGGGGGGTCTTGTTCAAGCACCCCAGCCCCCTGAAGGGCACAAAAATTCTGGTGCTTGCCGGTTTCCTCAAACCAATAAACTGACAAATCAGGCCTCCTCGCTTGCAGGAGTGGTGCGAGATGCCTGGAGCTGACTGGCCCCTGCTCTCCCCAGAGAGCCCGACGCCACCCTACTTAATGGACAACCGATCTGCCCACCTGACCTTTCGACGGCGACCGCACACATGACAAATACGTTTGCTGGTGGAAAGCTTGCAGCAGTGAAGGGGGGAAACCGCTTGTTGGCAGCTGATGCTTCGAATGCTTGCTGCGGCGGACTGTCAATACCAGAACAGGTGCCAAATGGAAGGTTTCTTATGCATGATGGATGGCTCTTGTACAGACTCAAAGACTAAATTCCAGCAACCACAACATTGACATCACCTTAGGGCCCTGGTTGCATGCATCGACTGGCAAGTTGCCCCCCCCCCCTGTGCTTGAATCTCCCAGAAAGAACTCCGACATAAGGTCAATGCGCCGCAGTGGCTGTTGTCAACAAGAGCTGCTTGCGGTGTTGCAACAAGAAAGCAAACAAAGCTTCCTCCGCGCCAGACCGAATCAAATAGTATAGATGTATCTAGCGCCGAATCCGTTGGTGTCGAGGCCCACAATGCAGGGATTGCCTGGGTAAGCTCCCCTAGGGATGTTAACATCATACTCGCAAATGAGTGTTTCTTTCAAGAGGGAAGTCCTTGCCCGGTTCGTGTCACGATTTTGTCCTAACCGGCCCACAGGGACGTGCATTTCACCGTGTGCATGTCAAATCCGCGAGAATCATGACCCAGGCCTTCTCCGAGTAATCAGACCTCGAAAAGCACACAATTCGCAAGTTGCCTTGCAAGTTGCCCAAAGGTGGCTCGTTGCTTCTTTCCGGCACACGTTGCTAGAGGCTTTAGCAACTCGAGAATTGATTGGCGCCACAAACCATGTTGAAAAACAGTCGAGACACCGGTGAGCTGAGCCGACGTGATGCTGCAGTACAAGTCAGGTAAAATCATGCAGGGGGCTAAACCGGCTAAACCTGAAAACATCGACTCTTGGTACTTGCGCGGCTTAAGTCGCTAATTCCTTCCAAGGCGCTCCGGAGCCGCCTTGGAGCCTCCCACAAGGGACAGGATGGTGGGCAGGAGCCACAAGCCGTGCGCACCCGCAATGGTCACCACCAGGAAAAGCACCTCACTCGAGCGCGCGGAGAAGCTTTGAACGTGTCTTCTGTACAGCTCTGTGGGATTCAACCAGCCTGGCCAGGTCATTGTGGCTGACATTGAAAAAGTTTTGCAAGTGGGACTCTAGACTTGTTGAAGATTCCGGGCCCAGAAGGCGCAACTTGCGCCTTTCGGCTCCATAGCTGTCCAGCTCGAAACGCACTTGCCATACCAGTGGTTGGTCGGCAGAAGTGCGGGTTGCCACGGTCGGACTAGTCCAAATGTGTCCAAGCAACAACAAAACAATCATGACCAAACTCTATGACTCTACGATCACTAAGAAAGCCCCTTTCACTTCAGCTACAATTGGCTGCCATACGCTCTTGATTGACGATTTGCTGTCAAGCTTGCGCTTGGCTTCCATGAAAACCACCAACTTCAATTCTGATCCCTAGCCCCGATCGATTCCTGATGCCCCACCTTGAAGAAGATCCTGAAGACATAGCTCTCGGAGAAGCCAACCACGACCACCTGTGCCAAGGCTCGAAATGAGTACGCCATGTCGCAAAGTGTTCAACTCGCTAACCTGAAGCACTACGCAAAACGTTGATAAACGTGACAACTGACTCCAATTCACTGCAATGCGCTGAAACATCAACACGGGGCCGAGCGGAGCACGAAATCTGTAAAACTCCTGCTTGCTGTGCAAGCGAGGAAGCGTCACATGCTTTTCTTTGCCATACATGTTCATACCATGGGTGCAACTTCCAAGGGACCTCTTAACAAGCTCCAGATGTTCTTTTCTTTCGATGCTACAGCTTCACCTTGAACAAGGGAAGAGCAGAACTGCTTCAATACCATTCCATAGCAGGAAATCAGGCCCCACCGTGATTTCCCTTGTAGACCGTGCTGCGAGAAGGCAGGCCTCTCAAATCATAAAGCCAAACTCAGAAACAGATCACACTCAAAGCCAGCAATCGCCAGGGTGCTGCCAGGAGGGTGGAGACCACCGCGTTGAAAGTGCAGGGCCCAATGCGCTCCATGGATGCAATGGCACGCTCCCGCGCAGTGCCGGTGGACTCCTGAGAGAACAAGCAAAAGGTTCCTGGATCTGCAGGTTCTGCCGAGAAAACCCGCGTGCTTCATTTGCACCTACCAGCATAAGCGTCTCGGCCAGGAGGGCAGCATCGCTCAGCCTTTCATGTTGAATGGAATTTTCGAACACTTCACCAGAATTCAGTAGTTCTACCAGCGAAACGCATGGAAGCCTCTGAGATCTGGTGTCCTTGAACATGTGCGCAATGTGTGCCGCGTAGTCCACAGCCAAGCCCACGCAAATCAGCACGTAGATCCTGGGCTGCCGCGCTTTCTTCTATCTATGGCTTTTATAGGCTAGACGTGTTTTCCAAATTCACAATTCTGTGACAGTCTTGAGGGCCGTTTTCAATAAAGTTGCCGAGTTTTCGGAAAACAAAGCCAGGCAACACAAAAATCAACAATAAACCCAAGCCCCTTAACCGTTTGCTTGTGAAGGGTGGTTTACGGTTTATCCAAGCCCTTTTCGCTGAAGCCCTTTCTTAGATTTAGGAAATCCTTTTTTTGAAACGGTCCCCAAACCAATTTGCAAACAAACCCGTGATTGAACAAACACAGTCACACAAAGCGGGTCCCGACAATTCCAGCTAAGCCAAGCACGAGGAATCTGAGAGCACACGAAATTAGACTTGGCAACGTCGAAGTAGTCACTCGGAAGTCTTGGCAATACAAAATTTGGAATCGGCAATACAAACTAACTAAGCACAGGGAACCTGAGAGCAAGCATTTAAAATGCAAAGTCAGACATGGCAACACCAAAGTAGGTAATGCACTGGGAATCTGAGTAAGGCTTGGCAATACTATATTATTTACAAAGCTTCTCTCAGCTCAAGGAATCTGAGAATGAGTGTTAATACGAAGTGTAGACTTGGCAGCACCAAAATAAGTACTGAGAATCTGAGAGAAGTGAGAATTGGCGGAAGAGGAATCTGAGAGTAAGTATTGGCAATACAGAACTTGGACTCGGCAACACTAAAACAGGCGCTCGGAATCTAAGGCAATTCAAAATGTAGAATTGGCAATACTAACAACTAACAATGGCAATACGCAATTTGATTTGGCAACACCAAACTAAGTACCGGGAATCTCAAAGTATGCCTTGGCGCTAAACTAAGTATGATGAATCTAAGAGCAAGTGCTGCCAATACAAATACTGGAATTAGCAATGCTAAACTAACTACGAGGAAGTTGAGAGTAAGTGTTGGCAGTACGGGGGGAAAAAAAATGGCAATGCTAAACCAACTACGAGGAATCTGAGAGTAAGTTCCGGCTGCGAAATTCAGACTTCGCAATCTGAGAGTAAGTCTTGGCAATACTAAATTCAGAACTGGCAAATGTACATGGTAATCTGAGAGCCAGTGTTGACAATACAAACTTTAGACTACGCAACACCCCAAGTAAATACTGGGAATCTGCGAGTAAGTCGTGGCGATACTAACTTTAGATTTGGCAATGCCAAACAAGCTACGAGGAATCTGAGAGTAAGTACTGGCAGCGAATTTCAGACTTCGCAATCTGAGAGTAAGTCTTGGAAATACTAAATTTAGAACTGGCGGATTTACATGGCAATCTGAGAGCCAGTGTTGACAATACAAACTTTAGACTACGCAACACCCCAAGTAAGTACTGGGAATCTGCGAGTAAGTCGTGGCGATACTAGCTTTAGATTTGGCAATGCCAAACAAGCTACGAGGAATCTGAGAGTAAGTACTGGCAGCGAATTTCAGACTTCGCAGTCTGAGAGTAAGTCTTGGCAATACTAAATTTAGAACTGGCAAATTAGCATGGCAATCTCAGAGTAGGTGTTGACAATACGGAATTTAGACTATGCAACACCAAGGTAAGTACTGGGAATCTGAGAGTAAGTCGTGGCGATACTAAGTTTAGAATTGGCAATGCTAAACTAACTACAAGGAATCTGAGAGTAAGTACTGGCTGCGAAGCTTAGACTTCGCAATCTGAGAGCAAGCATTTAAAATGCAAAGTCAGACATGGCAACACCAAAGTAGGTAATGCACTGGGAATCTGAGTAAGGCTTGGCAATACTATATTATTTACAAAGCTTCTCTCAGCTCAAGGAATCTGAGAATGAGTGTTAATACGAAGTGTAGACTTGGCAGCACCAAAATAAGTACTGAGAATCTGAGAGAAGTGAGAATTGGCGGAAGAGGAATCTGAGAGTAAGTATTGGCAATACAGAACTTGGACTCGGCAACACTAAAACAGGCGCTCGGAATCTAAGGCAATTCAAAATGTAGAATTGGCAATACTAACAACTAACAATGGCAATACGCAATTTGATTTGGCAACACCAAACTAAGTACCGGGAATCTCAAAGTATGCCTTGGCGCTAAACTAAGTATGATGAATCTAAGAGCAAGTGCTGCCAATACAAATACTGGAATTAGCAATGCTAAACTAACTACGAGGAAGTTGAGAGTAAGTGTTGGCAGTACGGGGGGAAAAAATGGCAATGCTAAACCAACTACGAGGAATCTGAGAGTAAGTTCCGGCTGCGAAATTCAGACTTCGCAATCTGAGAGTAAGTCTTGGCAATACTAAATTCAGAACTGGCAAATGTACATGGTAATCTGAGAGCCAGTGTTGACAATACAAACTTTAGACTACGCAACACCCCAAGTAAATACTGGGAATCTGCGAGTAAGTCGTGGCGATACTAACTTTAGATTTGGCAATGCCAAACAAACTACGAGGAATCTGAGAGTAAGTACTGGCAGCGAATTTCAGACTTCGCAATCTGAGAGTAAGTCTTGGAAATACTAAACTTAGAACTGGCGGATTTACATAACAATCTGAGAGCCAGTGTTGACAATACAAACTTTAGACTACGCAACACCCCAAGTAAGTACTGGGAATCTGCGAGTAAGTCGTGGCGATACTAGCTTTAGATTTGGCAATGCCAAACAAGCTACGAGGAATCTGAGAGTAAGTACTGGCAGCGAATTTCAGACTTCGCAATCTGAGAGTAAGTCTTGGCAATACTAAATTTAGAACTGGCAAATTAGCATGGCAATCTCAGAGTAGGTGTTGACAATACGGAATTTAGACTATGCAACACCAAGGTAAGTACTGGGAATCTGAGAGTAAGTCGTGGCGATACTAAGTTTAGAATTGGCAATGCTAAACTAACTACAAGGAATCTGAGAGTAAGTACTGGCTGCGAAGCTTAGACTTCGCAATCTGAGAGCAAGCCTTGGCAATTCTAAATTTAGAACTGGCAAATTAGCATGGCAATCTCAGAGTAAGTGCTGACAATAAGAAAATTAGACTACGCAAAGCCAAAGTAAGTACTGGGAATCTAAGCGGAAGTCGTGGCGATACTAATTAGAATTGGCAATGCTAAAATTAGTATTGGCAAGTCCAAGTCCATCCCCCCCCCCCCGGCGGCTTTTCCCACCAAACGGGCCCCAAAGACCTCTCAGTGTTTTGGGGAAGGGGGGGATCAAGTGTACAGCTACTCGTCTTCGTACAAAAACCCAGCACATCCCAGCAGCACGTTCTCCTTTGGTCAACAGAGCTGGGATGGACAACCTTTCCACGAGACATGAACCACCAACACAGCCCACCAGATGCAAGCGTCAGCAAAACAAGCAACACAGCGCAAGCTCTCAGGTGCTGAGAAAACTCGTTTACTTTGAGTTATCT